GTATGCACTTTATCTACTAGATTCTTGCAATACATAGGTTTGCATTAGCCTTTTTAAGAATGCTCTTTTAGTAAAGGGAAGAGTCCTTGAGCAGAAAACCCCTTTTGCACTACAAAAAAATGGTGCCTGTAAGTAGCTTATTGGCTACAGAAACATGGTTATCACTATATAAAGCATGAGTGGAAGACGGTCCACTCAACCCCCCTGAAGAAGTTATGTGCCCTGTGATGAAATGCATGGGATGGGGCCTGGATGACATCATGATGCTCATACCTGATACGGCAAGTGTTGGTTTCCAATTTAGTGCTATTGCAGAAGATGCTATTTTAAGGCTGTAGTTATCTGGGGAAATCTAGTATGTAAGGTTCATTTCTTGTTTATTTCATTTTTTTAGAGCACTCAGGTTTAGCTTTTTAGTGTAGAGCACTACATACAGTTATATTAAAACACTAATATTGTTTTATTGTTTAATTTGGTGGAAATTGGCTACTTGTATTTGAGCATACATAGCAACTCACAAGGGATGCAGTGACAAGTAAAACATTTCTTATTAAAAAAAGAAAAAACCTTTTGTAACACTTTAACTTTGCTAAAGTCATAGTAGTTATTTATATATTCGGATTGGTTTCTGTAGATTGCTGTCTAAAGACATTATATTTAATGTGACTGATTATGACTGAATACCAGGCCACTTTGACAACACAGTTTCAACACTTCCTTGTAGAGATGGAGCTTGCCGTTACCTTCTGCCCCCACACATTTCTACCAGCTTATCACTATAATGTGGGCTACCACTCTGAACAGTAGAAATTAGGAGGTAGCGAAAAGGGCGACACAAGCTACCAGAAATTCCTGGAGATTGTCTGTCAGGACCAGCCCTGATATTGACCATAGCTGTAGGTTTTTGGTGTCTGCTTTTGGTGTCTGTTTAAGCTGGCCATACTATAGATCAATGGAAATTCGACTAGCTCTGCAGGGACCAGCTGAATTTCAATTTGTCTATGGCCATTCCTGTTCATAAGAAGAGGATCTAATAATCTACTTCTTATGAATGAGCTTGTTGGAAAATTGTGTTTCATTCAAAGCATGCAGCCGATCGGTGTATTCTGACGGCAGGGGAGTCTCATTTTCAGAATACAATGACACAGCAGGGAGGATTCCTGCATCCACCTCATACGTGTGGCTGGGGGAATCAGCCCACTGGCTTAACGCCATCTATGGCCAGCTTAACCTCTTGATGCCAATCGTACGGAAGTTTGCGGCCTCACAGAACTGGGCTTTTTTCTGTGGGGTCGCTAATTTGCGTACCTGTCTTTGTGCTAGGTGCACCACATGGAGTGTCACTGAGAGCCTCGGGGCCCGTTCAAACAATCGGGACCTGGAAATCCTGATTCTGGGTCACCTGATCACTGTGATAGCCTCTGATTGGCTATCATAGTGATCAGTTACTGTGAAGCCCGACCCCTGTGTTTTCTCTTTCTGAATGGAGGAGAGAGATACATTTTCCAAAAAAAAATCCAAGTATGTGTAAAAAATAAATAAATAAATATAATAATAAAAAAATAAACAAAAATACCTAGATCAAGGTTTGATCTAGGTCAAGGTTTGATCTAGGTCTGTGCCAGGGTTAGTGTTTGGATCAAGGTCAAGGTCAGAGTCAAGGGTCAGAGTCTGCTTCTTTTTTTTTTTTTTTTTTTTGGTCAGGATTTTTTTGTAATCTTTAAATTAGTATCAGTGTCAGTTAGTGGCAGGATAAAAAAAAAATCAAGCTGCACGCTATTGTTTCTGGGTACAAACAACAACGAACATACACATGTGGTAACGCTGTGATCGTCAGGAGCAGGAGAAATTATTTTGGGTTGTAGTAGTAGTAGGTTATGGTAGTAGCAAAAAATATACAGCTAAATTTAAAAAAAAAAATTCTTTTACTATTTTGGGCCAGTTTTTCTTTGATAATAAAAAAAAAAACAGGAGATATCCATTACCATTTACCGCCAAAGGAAAGCCCAATTTGTGCAGTTTTGCTAACACATGTCAAAGTTGCAAAATTGTGCTTAGGCATTAACATTTGTTTTACCCTTAGACACGGAGGGGTTAAAGCAGCTCTAGGTGCCTGCATTGTATACCTGAATCTGTTTTTTTTTCCCCGTCCTTTGTTGATTTCAAAAGAACTACCATATTTATTGAATATGTTTGAAATGGTAAAAGGGTTGGGATTGTTAGATGATATATGGTAAGACTTTATTCATTTACATGTACACCTGGAAGGAAAGTGTAGGTAAGTCAACTTTGATTTAATAATGTACAGGACATTCTGTTAATTTTTTGGATTGTTTCTGAATAGTGTTTATGCGCCACTCCATTGAGTACTGCTTGGACCTGAAGAAGGGGACACTCCCTGAAAGCCTGTCCTTAAACTTTTTGTTAGTGCAAATAAAAAAAAGTATCACGGACAGTACTCAATTGTTTCTGCCGCAAATGCACTAATACGGCTACAATCACCTCAAGCAAAATGGAAGATGCACCACTCCATGGATGCCATTTTTTCTTAATCAATAAACAAGTCTATCATTGTTACTAAGGTCTTGTCTAGGAGGATTTTAAAACATTACATAAGCATAGACAAGTAAACCCTACTGGCAGGGGCGTATTTACCACAAGGCAAATAATGCATTTGCCTAGGGTGGCATTTTTCAGGGGGGGCAGCACTACCCCCTGGAAGAAGGGACTGAAAAAGGGACACACGCGGTATGGAGATCAGGTGGGATCCGAGAGAGGCTGTGGGCTGGTTGATGGTATATGCAGAGCCCGACTCTCATTCCGGAGGATGTCCAGAGCTGTGAAGGTGAGTGTCTTTCTCTCGCTGGGTGGGGGAGGCGATGCATGGGGGGCAATGGTAGGCTCTCTCAGGTGGGTGGGCAGGCAGGGGTGTTGTTGCTCAATGTCTCAGGCACTCTCTTCCACAGAGGTGGGGGATGACTGATTTTTGTGTTGCCTAGGGCAGAACAAAACCTACATACACCACTGCCCACTGGACAGACTTGGAGTGAACATGTCACTCATTTCGCCAATCTAAATGGGTCTACATTTTTAAAGATTGCTATTTCCACTCATAAATAGTAATGACAGGACAGGCTAGGATCTGGACAATCCAATCGACAAGTATTATTATTATACAGTTTGCTCAGCGCTGTACATTATAATGGAGACAGCACAGTAATAATACAATACACGAGGGGTTCGAGGGCCCTGCTCCTTGGAGCTTACAATCTAGGAGGGAGGGGAAATCAGTGCAAACCGTAAGCCACCTACGTTATTTTCAATTATCAACATTTTCTGTAACATCTGTATGTTCTTTTATGAGTGCTAACACTCTATAAAGCAACTTTCACCTCATCCTTACTTGTCTCTTTGTATATCAGCTTCCTAGAGCCACTCAGAGAATCATTACACTGTTAAGGAAGTATCACATTAGCTCTCTCAATTACTATGTTAAGTAGTCATACAGGAAGAAAAGTACTGCTCAGCCATGTCTTATTGTTGTCGTCTTGATGCTCGACAACTAAAGAAGTATATTCTGCTGGACGATTGTATAATTTGAGGAACTGATGTAATAAAAGAAAATCTAACTATTATTAGACCAGAGTAATTGCAATTCTGCTAAAAGAAAAAAAAAAACACTCTTAATTTACCCGTAAAGCCCATGTTGTGACACTTTAACAAATTGTCTTGTGTCTAACAAAGACAGAAATGGGTCATTGGCTAACACAGCACCTCCAATTTAGCAGCCTGCTAACCTTTGACCCTTAGAAGAAAAATAAACAGATAAGCAGCTATTGACTGAATGTGCTACATTACGGCTACAATGTCTGAGACTGCCTTTATTTCCTTTTAAAAATTGTACACCTCACCTCAGAGAAAAAAAAAATACCAATTTTATTCAATTGCCTATACAGTAATGACATCCAGAATGAACCAGATTTGCTGTAATAAAACAATTAGGTACAATTTGTACCAGAGCTGCAGCACACAGAACAGGACAAAGATTTATTATCTGAAAATGAGAGAGTGGTTTAAAGTAGTATGGGAGACATAAATAGCTATTGTTTTTTCAATACAAAATACAGTGCTAAAATGTGCTTTTAAGACTTTCAGGCTGATGAATGAGGTAAGGCAAAAGGCCCCTACTGTGCCTGTGAGTTTTTCAGCATTCTTGTGGGCCCACTGCTATTATTCCTGGGATTGCCTTTCTTTTCTTTACCCTGTCTCGGTTTCAGCAGGACAGACTGTAATTGGCCAGGACACATATAAAAGAAGCAAATGAAGGGGAGGGATGGAAAAGGCATTCAGAGAACACCTTGGGGTAGGATATGCATATTTGGCATGTAAAGTATTCTAAAACATGTTGGTGTTGCTTTAACAAAAAAACTTTGATGTCTATTTTATGGTATTGATAAAAAAAGATTTGTAGTTAATTATTGTAAAACATTTCTATCAATCACCTTAACTACTTGCCCTCCAAGATTTACCCCCCTTCCTGACCAGGCCTTTTTTTGCGATACGGCGCTGCGTTACTTTAACTGACAAGTTGCGCGTTCATGAAATGCTGCACCCAAATTAAATTTATGTCCTTTTTCCCACAAATAGAACTTTCTTTCAGTGGTATTTGATCGCCTCGCCAATTTTGAGAAAAAAACAATATGTTTGGCTTTTTGCTATTAATCATGTCCAGCAAAAAAAATTAAAAAAATAAAATTTCATCATAAAAAATCCCAACACGTGTACATTTTTATTTTTTAAACCTCCCTGGTGGTATTCCCAAGTGTAGCGCGAGGTAAAGTTTCAGTACCACAAGCGGTAACCCCGAGCTACACTCGGGCTTACCATGCGGCGCTGCTCCGCGATCCCTCGATCACTTACCTTGTCCTGCGCTCCCGTGATGTCCCTCCTGCAGTGTCCCCGGCAATGTAATCCGGCGGATGCCAGCATCTGTCATCTGGGATCCATCCCCTGTCAGCGTCTGGACATACGGGGGATGGAATGGCGGGAAATTTGAAAATGACAAACAGTGACATTCACTAAAATCACATAGTAAAACATTACTATATCAAAGCATTTCACATACATTTTGTCCCGAGTGCTTTGTCCTGTGTCCTGCCTGCACTTTTACCATTCTTTCTGCCTGGAAACTGAGAAGCATCCATGGCGTCCAAAAAGCGTCCCTTTAGGTCAAAAGCGGTTTTAGACCAGCTAGAGAACAGCGATAGTAAATTAGAACCACTTGCAGACTTGAGTGATGATTCGTGGGGGAATTCCTCATCAGACACTGAAAACGATTTTGCGACTTTGCTCAGTGATGTGCAAACTCAGCGCTATATTTCAAATTTCAGTGTTTTTGGTTTGATTGTATTATTGAATTAAATTTATTATTATTATATTTTATGATTATTTATTAAATTATAATTTATGATTTCGTGTTTCAAGTTTTATCCTACCCGGGATGTTTACTAGACTGACAGATTTCAGTGAGTTATTCCTAAAAATTACAGGCCTACAATAAAAAAAAATACATATTTTCATGCAAAAAAATGTACCGCTTTGAGCACAGAAATATGGACATAATCAGACTGCTAGGAAGGTTAAAGTCCGCGGAGGTGGGAAAAAACTACAACCCGTAAGTGTACAAAAAATGTTCAAGTGCAAAAACACAAACACAAAACAGTGCACTTAAGGGTGTGCTTTTGTCCACCCCCCAAAGGGGTAGGACCTCTACCCTGGTCCCCCAAGGTGCAAGGCTCCTGACAGGGACAAAGGTTTCCAATATGGCTCACCTAGCCAAAAGGCCTGGAGGACCCCTTTCCTTGTGGCTAGCCGAAGCCAACCACCAAGTACTAGGTCAGGGAGCTCTCCCAAAGAGAGAGCCCCCCCCCCCCCCCCCCCCAGGATCAGGGGAGGAAGGAACCTAATGGCCACGCATCCTCCCCCTAGACTTCAGGGCAGGCCCGTGGACCCACACCTTCCATCCTAGTGAGAAAAAAACACACACAAAAGTGAAAGGTGACAAAACAGTGAGGATAAATAAATAAATAAGTGGCCCTGCAATTGTGCACTGGCAAGGCCCTGAGGCCTGTAAAAAATTGCCCTGGACTTAGCCAAAAGGCCTAGCCCTTTAAGGTGCAGTGCAGAAAAAGTGTTTAGAACAGTGACCATGTGCACTTTTCACAGTTGGGATCCCACCCCCATGTGCTACTAACAGCACCCCTGAGGCGACCACTCTCAGGGGGCACTGCTCCGTTGGCTCTCTGCCTCCCCGGTCCCTGGCCAGACAAGGTAGATGCATTGGCATAAGGAGGAACTAAACCCCTCCAGTTTTCCTGGAGGAATTACTCCCGGGGCCCAATTGTGGGTGCCTTGGTTTCTCTTCCAGCCGTAATTATCCTTCAGAGCCCCCATCATACCATCATACCAGCATGGGTACTATACAGCCAGCCATCCTCGCCTAAAAGCAAGAATGACGGCGGAGCACCCCTACTGGACACTGATAAGAATAGATACTACACTTGATCTTAGCCAAAAGGAGTTTTTTTTTTTTTAAGTCCGTGAACGTGCGAAACAACGAAAACCCGTAAGTGTTCACAAAAAACATGCAAGTACAAAACACCACACAAAAAAAGTGCACTTAGGGGTGTGCTTTGTCCTTCCCCCGAAGGGGATGGACCTCTACCCTGATCCCCTGGGGCACGAAGCTCCTGACAAGGGACAAGGTTCTCATTTGGTCCACCTAGTCAAAAGGCCTGGCGGACCACCCGTTCCATGGGGCCAGCCGAAGCCAGCCACTCAGTACTTGGTCAGGGTCAGGGGGCACTCCCAAAGAGAAAACCCCCTAGGGACAGGGGAGGAAGAAACCAAAAGGCCACACATCCTCCCCCTAGACTTCAGGGTAGGCCTGAGGACCCACACCCTCCATCCTGTGAGAAATAAAACACACACAAAAGTGAAAAGTGACAAACGTGGGAGAAAATAAATTAAATAAATAAGTGGTCGTGCAGATTGTGCACTGACCATCCCTGAGGCCCGTAGCAAAAATTGCCCAGAACTTAGCCATAAGGCCTGGTCCTAAAGGCGCAGTGCAAGAAAAGTGTTTGAACACAGTGACCATGTGCCTTTTTACACGCTGGGGTCCCACACCCAAGTGTTACTAAGAGCACCCCCAAGGCGACCACTTAGGGGGCACTGGTTTGCGGACTTTCTGCCTTCCCGGCCCCTGGCCAGACAAGGTAGATCCGCTCAAATCAGGAGGAACTGGGCCCCGCCAGTTTTCCAGGGGGAATTACTCCCGGGCCCCAGCAGCCTGTGGGCACCTCGGTTTCTGTTCCAACCTGTACTAGCCATCAGGACCATCATACCAGCAGGGGTACTATACAACCAATCATCCCCGCAAAGCTAGAATGATGGGGAGCACCCCTGCTGGACACTGATAAGAACAGATACTACACTTGATCCTAGCCAAAAGGCCGAGTTTTTTTTTTTTTTTTTAAGTCCGCAAACGTGCAAACTACAACGAAAAACCCGTAAGTGATCACAAAAAATGTGCAAGTGCGAACACCACACGAAAAAGTGCACTTAGGGGTGTGTTTGTCCTACCCACGGAAGGGTTGGACCGTTCACCTGATCCCCCGGGGCACGAAGCTCCTGACAGGGACAAGGTTCCCATTTGGTCCTCCTGGCCAAAAGGCCTGGTGGACCACCGTTCCTTATGCCCAGCCGAAGCCGGACATCCAGTACTAGGCAAGGGGGTTCTCCCGAAGAGAAAACCCCCTAGGGATCAGGGGAGGAAGGAACTGTAGGGCCACACATCCTCCCCCTAGACTTCAGGTAAGGCCCGAGGACCCACACCCTCCATCCGTGAAAAACACACACATAAGTAAAGTAAAAAGTGACAAAACGTGGGAGTGCATAATAAATAAGGTAAAGATAAAGTAAAGAAAAAAATTAAAAAGTGGTACCGTGCCGAATTGTGCACAGACCAGGCCCTGAGGCCCGTAGCAAAATTGCCCTGGACTTAGCCAAAAGACCTGGTCCTTAGGGCGCTGTGCAAAAAGAGGTGAAAAACAGTGGCCATGTGTCATCTTCACACCGTGGGGTCCCACACCCAAGTGTTACTAGTGACACCCCTGAGAGCGTCTTCCCCAGGGGGCACTGAGTTTGCGGACTTTTTGCATCCCCAGCCCCAGGCCAGACCAAGGTAGATCCGTCCAAATCAGGAGGTACTGGGTCTTTCCAGTCTTCCCAGAGGAATTACTCCCAAGGCCCCAGAACGAATCATGGCGCTCCCTGGTTTCTGTCCCTCCGGTACTAGCCTTCCGGACCCCCATCATACCAGTGAGGGTACTATACAACCAATCATCCCTGCAAAGCTAGAATGATGGGGAGCACCCCCACTGGACACTGATAAGAACAGATACTACACTTGATCCTAGCCAAAAGGCCGAGTTGGTTTACTTGAAAGGTATAGCGTCTACAAATGGCTGTATATATACTGGAATTTTTTTTTTTTTTATACTAGTAATGGCGGCAATCAGTGACTTATAGTGGGACTGCAGCAGGCATTCTGACACTGAGCGGAACTGACTTGGGGTCACTGACATCCCCAGTGACACCAATACAGTGATCAGTGCTAATAAAAGCACTGACACTGTACTAATGGCACTGGGCAGGAAGGGCTTAATATCTGGGGCGATCAAAGGGTTAACTGTGCTGTTTTACTGTATGCTGTGTGTGTGCTTTACAATGTAAGCACACTAATTTGTATGGCTCTGCATAGCAGTAGTGTGCAGGAGCTGACGGGGGAGATCTGCATTGTTTACATACAGGTCTCTCCTCCGTCTGTGACACACGGTGATTGACAGGTGAGGCCACCAATGGCGCATGTGCACCCCCTACCCGTAAATGCAAAGTCACATATATATACGTAATTTTGTTCACACCTGCCGCCCTGTAGCAGTACTTCTGCTATAGGGTGGCGGGAAAGCGATTAAATGGCAGTGACTGCACTGTTGGAGCTCATTGACATTAATGACATGTTTTCTTTTACACTGCAGATTAATGTATTGAGGATATGGTGTCAGGAAAGAACCTGCCACTAAGATTGCTGCCAAATGGACTATTTAAGGGCAGGCTCTGCTATATAGGTATATGACACATGATAAAGCATTTGGAGGTTTATTGCAAAAGTCAGTAAAGGTTAACTAACCATTTAAATAAAATCTTTCAACCTTTTTATTACATACCTTTATTTTTATTGTATTCCTAAAAAAAAGGAAACTAATTTTCATGGAATTTCCTACATCATTACTTAGTAGAATCAAGTTATTTGTTAAAGCAAATAAAACATTGTCAAATATTCTAATCCTTCCTTGCTCAATTATAAATGTGCTGTTTTTGTTGGTGTTTTGTTGGAGTGATTTGCCACCACTTACTGTCCTGAAAGAAATTTATGGAAAGTCTCCCTAGTAGGTGGGCAATAAAGCCTATTCAGAAACTCTCTACCTTTCCCTCTTATCGAAAGCTAAATAAAAGGCAACAAAGACAACAGTGGTGATCTTCAATAATCATTTTCTGGATGGATTTTAACTTAAAAAAACACTTGCATCTGTTCAACAAGACTAATGGTCATATTCATCAACTAGTAATTTTACGTGGCCTACCACTTTGTGGCTGAGTTGCTGTTGTTCCCAGTTGCTTCCACTTTGTTATAATACCACTAAAAGTTGACCGTGGAATATTTAGTAGCAAGGAAATTTTAAGGAAATTTCACGGATGGACTTATTGCACAGGTGGCAACCTATCACGGTACCACACTTGAATTCACTGAGCTCCCGAGAGTGACCCATTCTTTCACAAATGTTTGTCTGCATGCCTAGGTGCTTGATTTAATACATCAGTGGCCATGGAGGTGATTGGAACACCTGAATCCAATGATTTGGAGGGCTGTCCCAATACTTTTGGCATAATACAGTG